AGGCCATGTTTTTGTTTTAACTCTGAAATGACACACCTGATTCAAGTAATTAAAGGCTTAATGAGTAATTAGAGTAGGAATAGTTCAATTAATCAATTAGTCAACTACTCATTAAGCCTTTAATGACTTGAATCAGGTGTGCCATTTCAGGGTTAAAACAGAAACATGGCCTGTCAGGGGGTCCCTGCAGGAGAGGTTGAGAAACACTGATCTAAGGGAAGAGAATATATATATATTTAAATAAATAAAATTATTATTAAATTAAAATTTAAGGTAAATGATATGCACTTATTTTCAAAATATTTTTATGGTCTACAGCTAAATTTAAAAAAAAAAACATGGAACAACATGAATGAATCATGAATGACACATTAGAAAAAGGTAATCAACATGCATTACATTTTATTTTATTGTATAAAATATGTTCTGCTTTTATTTTTAAAGCAGTTACTGAAAACATACATGTTAAAATCCAGCTAAACATTTCATTCCATTTCAGATAATTTACTTTCTGAAAGAAACTCTCAAAAGGCTACATTAATAAGTTACAGTAATGACTGTATCATTAAACAATATACTTGGTATAACGTTACCGTTGTTGTATACGTTCAAAGTTACTTTTAGCCTACTGGCTAATTTTAGCCAAACTCAGTAAATTTCAGTTGACAATGTGGGCATAATTTCTTTCGGTTCATTCATGTCACACAAGTAAAACTCAAGCACGTTAATCTAATACAAAATGTAGGCCTACTTACCCAACAGTAGATTTTTAATAATATCGACACAACTCCCTCCTCTCCTCGTGTTTGTTCACAGTTCCAGAATCTATGGGGAGAACGCGTTAACATCTCGCGAGATAATCCCATCGCATGATTTTGTAATATCGCGAGATCTTTTGTTACTACATCTTGGCAGCACAGTTTATTTGGGCAGAGGGTTTGGGTAATTACATCCAACTCAGACATAAATGGTGACCGGGTATATTTCTGTTTTACATGTACATACATTCCATAAAAAAATAACAACGAATACATCAGGTACAACAGGTTAAAATAATGATTAAAAGGCAGTGGCTTTGCAATCACTTGACTATACTGTGCATTTTGTGATTATAATTTATAAAAACAAGATAAAGTAAATATATATTCATTTGTATATAAATCGTGTATTTTATAAAGAATTATAAATCCTGATAATTTTTTTCTGTCTTGCTAGACTAGACGTGCAAAAGACGCCAGTGGACGTATAGTATTCACAGCCTGACTAGACGTGTAAAGGACGCCAGTGGACGTCTTCTTCACAACCTCTTAAAAACTTAATGGGCAACTACATTAATTATTGCAGTATTAACCATGCGAGGATTAAGCGCAGCTTTTGCATATTTAACAAGGAATTCATAGAGGGTCATGATGGACTTTAAATGCACGTGTAAAAGACGTCGCCAGGTGACGTCCTCTCACCCGATACACTAAACATAACTACACGAGCTAAAAGTTAAAATAACAATTATACATGCAACTGTAGACATGTACAAATGTATCTGAATGCATTTTTAGGAAATGTTTTGTGTTACATTTTTTACCGATTTATGACGTCCTGGCCGCAACTATTTTTGGCCAGGGACACGACGTTGCCGTCGGACCAATGTTTGCTGGGATGAGTGTGAGGGACAACATGTCTCTCTGCTCGTGTGACTTTCGTGGTTTCTGGTTTCTTGTTGTGTTGTGTTGGTTTAGACAAACACCGATTCAAAGACGAATGAGACTCAGACAGACAGAAAATGACAGAGGGTTTATGAATTAAAGCAGGTCAAAACTAACACAACACAAACACAAAAAAGATCACATTTACACGCCATGGGCCCTATCTTGCACTCGGCGCAAATGGCTTTGTACACTGACGCATGTATCATTCCTATTTTGCACCCACGCAAAGCGGGCTTTTCCCTCCACAGACACACGTCGGTTAACTAAGAAATACACTTGCGCTCCCCGGGGCGGTTCAGCGCAAAAAGGAGGCGTGTTCCGGCGCAAACTTTCCCTCATGCTATTTTGCTGTTCTATGTAACAAATGCGCCACTGACCAGAAAAAAATAGTCTAAAGTCAGTGGCGCGTTGCGCGTTGTTCATTATGCTATTTTAAGGGCGCATGCTTGGCCATAATCAATGTAGCGTGTGCACAACGCGCATACACTTTGATTCTCTCATCTAAGCAGCAGTTTTCATTTTTGCAAATCATACATTATTACGATAGATAGATAGATAGATAGATAGATAGATAGATAGATAGATAGATAGATAGATAGATAGATAGATAGATAGATAGATAGATAGATAGATAGGCAATTTATTATAAAAGCATACATGTAGCTTACACATTTACCCAAATTATCACGCCTGTTTAACAGAAGTTAATTTGGGTGGGTTTCTACATCCCCAATGTCACTTCTCTGTGTTTTACGGCCCTGACGAGAACGTTGCTCTCCTCGGCTGTGAACCGCTCCTGGCGCGCGCCTAGTAAATCCGCCGTTATAATAGGAATCCGCTTTAGAACAAGCGCGCCTGCTCTTAAAGGGAATGTGAGATGACGCTCTGATTGGTTTATTTCACGTTACGCCCAAACCACACCTATGAATAATGAAGCTACTTCAGACCAACCCCTTTTAGATTTGCGCCAGGCGCAAGAGGCATTTATCCCGCCGGGAAAATAGCAACAGCGCCGGGATCCGCCCACAAAGTTACTTGCGCTTTGCGCTTTGACACTTGCGTTTCAGATCGTTAAAATAGGGCCCCATATGTCACACACACAGGACATAAATTAGCTTTAAATAGGCTACAGAGAGAAAGAAAGAGGGGACAAGTAGGGAACATTCTCAGAACATAGCTAATGTTCTGGCAAGGTTCTCTCAAAGTTGTGAATAAACATTCTCCAGTAAAATTAATAAAGCATTTGTTCAAAGTCATTTTAACTTCAATGCATATTCAAATGAACAGAGTATGAAAGAAGCAAGTGACTTTGATTAAAAAAATAAATTGTAACATATTTAATATCTTGAATGTTCACTGGGACATTTGAAGTGTTCAATGTCTTGATAAAGAGTTAAGTCGTGAAAATTTTGCCTAGCCTGTCATTTGAAGATGATCGTAAGATGATCATAAACTTCAAGACACTGATGTGTGCTGGAGACACAATGACAGCAAGTTTGTGCGTGATGTAATTCCCTAAAATCAATTACGATTTCCATTACACGAGAGTAGATGTTAAAACTTCATGCTGATTTGTACTCGGCTTTCGCCAAGATAAGCAACACTAAGACGTAGCTTTACAGTAAACTATGCTTCACCCATTTACGCTTCTTTCCATATGGTGGTGTGACTCCCCTTCTGTCCGGCGTTAACGGCTGCAGTGTACTTGGCGCGTCAGCACCCGCGACGGCTGCAACTACAGTGTGGTCTCCCCACAGGACCAGCACCACTACCGTCTCGATTGAGCCGAGTAGGGGACATCTCTAGGGTCTTCAAGTGGGCACCTTCCGTCCTCAGTGTTTCGTCTACTAGCCCACGACACCTCAAGAGGGCTCGACAGTGACTCTGGCGTCCCAGAGTCACCCCCCTTCGTCCCCCACTCAACTCAGCCCAGCTTACTGACCTCTACATCCCTCCTGCTGCTGAGACCTAACCACAATCTCACAATCTCTCCGCAACCCAACCATACGCGCCAACCCGTCTATCAGCATACTGTATGTGCTATCACATGTGGTGGACATTGTGACGCTGAAGTGTGTCGTGAAGCTCCTCCTCACGCAGACTTCCCAACATACTTACGTATATATGTGTGATTAAAAAGTGAGTTAAAAGTATTTAAATTATTAGTATTTTTCTTCAACACACCTATCTTTTCACTTCAGAAGACATTGATTCATCCACTTGGGTTGTATGGATTACGGTCACGACCGATGTGTGTCATTTTATTTAGAGTCATCTGAGAGGCATTTCAATTTTACTAAAAAAATTTATGTGTGTTTATCTGAAGAAAGAAAGTCCTATACATTGGGGAAGGCATGAGGGTGAAAAAATAATGAGAACATTTTCCTTTTTGTGTGAACTGTCCCTTTAACTTTTCCTTTGTAGTAGGCTATTTTTAAATTATATATAGAAAATTAACAAGTTGCAATGGTAAGAAAACAAACCAAGCTTTCAAGAATTTCAAATTTCAGGACTGTAAAACTGTGTAAGAACGCCAAACCTACTTGTGTTTTGAGGCAATTCACTGGGGCTCGTTTTGGGCCTATGAGGTTTTTATTGGCCTTTATTTGGGCCCAACAGTATCTCAGCACCATAATATCATAAACACATGGGGTAGAGTTTCCACATCAACACCACTCCATACTAGTCAATGAAACGCATCAGGCATCAGGTCAAAATACTGAAAAACAACCAAACTGAATGCCTGTGTGTGATTCAGAAACATTATGATTACAATATGTATCAAAAAAGCATTTTGTCCATATACTACAAAAACACACTACAAAATGCTATAATGCAATACAAAAGAATATGTCACAAATAAAAGATATATGCAAATCTGGCTGCAGGTCTGTGAGGTCCTGTCATGACAAAAGAGTGTCTGTTACCAGTGTAACAGGACACAAACATGAACATAACATTTAAATAACTCTCTCATTGTTTTTCTTTTTCTTTTTTTAATTGTGAGTAAATGTTTGTCTGTAATTCCATGTTAGCAATGCTTTGGCAATGTAAAGCTTTTTACCAAGCCAACAAAGCCATTTGCATCTTGAAACTATTAACCTTACTTAAAACAACACATGTATAAAACAAAACAAATGTATGTGTGAAAATGAATAAAAAAAATGTTAAATTAAATATAAAACAAGCAACATACACAACCAAACCTAAATGCTGATACTGTATGTGTGCCGATAAACAAGCCAAGTTTGAAAAGGCTGTGAGTTTGAGACTTTTGCTTTCTCTCTCTTTCAGTTTCTCTATGTCAGAATGAGGATGTTACTGGTGACAAAATCAAGATATGATGGAGTATACGATACACAACAACATACTTGCCCTCTTATCTAGTCTGACAACAATCCTGTGTCTGTTTGAGTTTCTCCTCCCATCCAATCATCAGAGAATACAGTCTCTCAGCACTTGTTCAGTCTGTCAGGATGAAAACAAGAGAGAGGAACTGTGAAGCAGATCTTTATGGATTGAGCCCAGATATGCAAAAGAACACAGGTAATTTATTGTAATTTCTTAACTCATTTTTGAAAAGCCAGGCTGCATTTCCCTGTTGTTTTCAATTCTTTCTCTCTTTCATTTTTCTCTGTAGGGCCGAATGAGGATGTTGTTGAAAATTCTGCAATCTTGTCCTGCTCTCTTACACAGCGACAATGAACTATAAAATCAAGACATGACAATGTATTACAGACTCAGTGACAGCAGGAATAGGTTGACCAGGATCCTTTCCCATGGGGAGTTTAAGAAATGATACTTCCCTCTCATTCTCATGTAAGTCTGAGTACATTTACTCAATTCATTCACTGCTGTTCATTTCACTAATAGGGTCAAACATTACGTTAAACATAAGGACGACTATAGCAGTCTACTGAAAAGACCAGCTTATTTTTATTATTATTTTATCAGCCTTGAAGAGTCTTGAAGTAACTGAAGTAAATTTGGGGTAAGATTAACGAATATCTGCATGTCTGTTGACGTCACTTACACCTGATTATATACACTCACCGGCCACTTTATTAGGTACACCTGTCCAACTGCTCGTTAACACTTAATTTCTAAGCAGCCAATCACATGGCGGTAACTCAGTGCATTTAGGCATGTAGACATGGTCAAGACAATCTCTTGCAGTTCAAACCGAGCATCAGTATGGGGAAGAAAGTTGATTTGAGTGACTTTGAACGTGGCATGATTGTTGGTGCCAGAAGGGCTGGTCTGAGTATTTCAGAAACTGCTAATCTACTGGGATTTTCACGCACAACCATCTCTAGGGTTTACAGAGAATGGTCCGAAAAAGAAAAAACATCCAGTGAGCGGCAGTTCTGTGGGCGGAAATGCCTTGTTGATGCCAGAGGTCAGAGGAGAATGGCCAGACTGGTTCGAGCTGATAGAAGGGCAACAGTGACTGAAATAAATACTCGTTACAACCGAGGTATGCAGCAAAGCATTTGTGAAGCCACAACACGCACAACCTTGAGGCAGATGGGCTACAACAGCAGAAGACTCCACCGGGTACCACTCATCTCCACTACAAATAGGAAAAAGAGGCTACAATTTGCAAGAGCTCACCAAAATTGAACAGTTGAAGACTGGAAAAATGTTGCCTGGTCTGATGAGTCTCGATTTCTGTTGAGACATTCAGATGTTAGAGTCAGAATTTGGCGTAAACAGAATGAGAACATGGAACCATCATGCCTTGTTACCACTGTGCAGGCTGGTGGTGGTGGTGTAATGGTGTGGGGGATGTTTTCCTGGCACACTTTAGGCCCCTTAGTGCCAATTGGGCATCGTTTAAATGCCACGGCCTACCTGAGCATTGTTTCTGACCATGTCCATCCCTTTATGGCCACCATGTACCCATCCTCTGATGGCTACTTCCACCATGTCACAAAGCTCTAATCATTTCAAATTGGTTTCTTGAACATGACAATGAGTTCACTGTACTAAAATGGCCTCCACAGTCACCAGATCTCAACCCAATAGAGCATCTTTGGGATGTGGTGGAACGGGAGATTCGCATCATGGATGTGCAGCCGACAAATCTGCGGCAACTGTGTGATGCCATCATGTCAATATGGACCAAAGTCCCTGAGGAATGCTTCCAGCACCTTGTTGAATCTATGCCACGAAGAATTGAGGCAGTTCTGAAGGCAAAAGGGGGTCCAACCCGTTACTAGCATGGGGTACCAAATAAAGTGGCCGGTGAGTGTATGTATATATAACGCATGGCGTATACGGAAATGGAAGAGTTTACAATACTAAGTTTTGAAAAGTAGTATTTTACCCTAATTATAGAAATATTTATATGCAAAATAGTCAAATAAAACATATATTGACAATATATATGGGCTTGAATTATGGGTCCTACGTGGGTTTGTCGATGTGTATGTCGTTCCTATCTGAATTAGCCCAAGTTGGCTGTGACTATGATGATCAGGTAAGTTTGATAAATTCTGAATAAAACGCTATTTGTACAAATAATGTCATACTTCTTAGCAATGACCGTCTGATGTAGTTTGTTGCTCATCGTTGTGCTTGGCCTGCTGTGTTTTGGTTGTCAAATGCTTTATTTGAACTAGAATTAAAACAGAAACCTTTTAAGCATCATTAATACATTAAACTAGCCTGGCAAGCCAGACCTACATCAAGATGTTAGGTCTGGGAACTCACAATTGGCATACCTCAATCCGAGGGGCGGGATAAACGGTTGTCTTTCAATATCCCTTGGCACGCAATAGGATAGCGCTACAACCAACCAGAGCAACGAACGGCTGTGGCTGAGTGAGTCCCATGCGTTTTTCCACCAGTGAACCAGCTAGTTGGTATATTAAACTTTTGCCGTATCCGGTCGTCAAAACTCTGAACACATCTTCCTGTTTTAGGAATGAATTAAGTGACGTTCTCTTAACTCCAAGTCCAGAGTCGCCGCCAAAGCCGATTCGAAAGACCGCTGTTCGCCAGCGGCATCTTGTTTGTTTTCAAGTAGCAGGGAAATCACGCGGAACCGTCACAACTCTGTCGTCATTATGTAAAGCCCGCCCGTCGACTCTATACACGATGTGATTGGCCGGACCAGTTTTTGGTTTTTCTAGCTCAAAAGTCTATGGAGAGTTGCTAGACCACACTTTGCTGCAAAATAATTTTTGCTGCCGCTAGGGTGCGTCTAGATTTCTTGGCTAACATTGAACATGAATCGGTTAATTAACGATTATGAGGTTTGTCTGCATGGTTTATCTGCTGTAACTATTATTTTGATTTATTTGTTATTAGCATTTTGTTTTACCGTCTTTGTGTCCTGGTGCACGTGCAGTTAGTTGATAGTAGTTTGATTTTGCTAGTCTTACAGTGTATTTAAGGTTTGACCAGTAGGGTATGATGTGTGAAGAAGCTTCTCTTCAAGAACATTTACTGCCAAATTGGAACATAATAGAGATGAGTTTAGCATGTACAGGTAACATTTTTTGGTTAAAAAATATATTAATGTCATAGAACCCTTTGACAATTATTTTAAATAGATTAAGAAAGCCGACACAACTGGTCACATCTATGGTTGGATTGATTTTTATAGATCCAGTGAAGTCGTGTGGCGTAATTTGTGGGTGGGAAGGATGGGACATGTCCCCACCACTTTTTCTCAGGATCGATATTGTCCCCCAACACTTTTTGAAACATTGAGGCATGGATGTACCTAATACAAATAAATAAAACATCTCCAGTTAACTAGCAGAGCATTCATTTAGTTCGCTATTAAATAAGAGATCTAGTGCTTAAATATGTTGTTTTTTAAACCAACTATACATTTGTGGATTAGAAACCGTAATCTCTGACACGTTGGCAAACGATATACCACTAGACCATTGAAGAACTCAAACAAAATTTGCAGATCGATGGATTTATTTACGGGTTGAGCAGAGAGGCTGCACAGTTTGACCAGCGGGCAGCGGCCGCACACCAGGCCGCCGGATGGTGTTGCTAAGAACTTGCAATATATAACTATTATCAGCCCGGCCCTCGCGGCCTCGAAACACTAACAGCCCACCGGGAGAAGTCCCAACTCTCCCGAATGCCACTGTTCTTTCCCTGTTGTGAGATGCACACAGAGTGACTTTCTATTGTATATGTGAAAAGACGGATGCGACAGCTTGAGTAGACTCACAAATGTAGGCTACTACAACAACTCTTAGACTCAACAACTCAACAACATAGACTGCGTGCTCCCGGTGGTGGGGTTTATGTGAATTTTAGGGTTGGTGATGTCACTAACCCGTGAGGAATGTCTTGTAGTCCCTACCAGCCGTTTGTTGTATAGTCCCTAAAAAAAGATTTCTTTAAAAGCAAATATCTCCCTTTGCTTTAAACTTAGAGCGTTGCAACTTTGCAGATGTTGTTTATGCTCAAACAGCAACATTACACACTAACCCCTCTGACATGGCCAACTACTGACCAATCTCAAATCTACCATTTCTTTCGAAACTGCTTGAGAAAGTGGTCGCTGCTCAACTTCAAACAGACTTGTCATCTAACAACTACTATGAATGTTTTCAATCCGCTTTCCGCGCCCTCCACAGCACTGAAACAGCACTTCTTAGGGTTGTCAATGATCTCCTTCTGGCCACTGACTGCGGCTCCACCAGTTTTCTAATTCTTCTAGATATTTCCTCTGCATTCGACACAAACTCTCACGTTATTCTTATCTCACGAATCTCTGTTCTTGGTGTTTCTGGTACTGCCCTATCCTGGTTCTTCTCCTACCTGTCTGGTCGCCAGCATTACATCTCTATCCGCCAGGCTAAGTCGACTACTGCCTCTGTCCCACACGGTGTTCCCCAGGGTTCTGTTCTTGGGCCTCTTCTCTTCATCATCTACATGCTTCCATTAGGTAACATCATCCGTCATCATGGCTTTAAATTCCATTGCTACGCAGATGACACCCAACTATACATCCATTCAAAACGCAATGCTCCTTTTTGCACAAATTCCATATCAGCCTGTATTGATGATATAAATGCTTGGATTACCAGTAATTTTCTCAAACTCAACACTGATAAAACAGATCTACTTCTTATTGGTTCACCTCAAATTACATCCCATTCTGTGTTGACAATGTTAATATTGCTGGAGTTTCGGTTCAACCTTCCACCACTGTCAAAAACCTTGGTATAATCTTTGATTCCTCTCTTTCCTTCCTTCCACACATTTCCTCGCTCACTAAGTCTGCCTTCTTTCACCTTCATAATATCGCGCGTTTATGTCCATTTCTGAATATCAGCCATGCTGAAACCCTGGTTCATGCTTTCATCACTTCACGGCTTGATTACTGCAATTCTCTTTTCTATGGCTTAACCAACTCATCTATAAATAAAATCCAATATATTCAGAACTCCACAGCTATAGGGTCCTTACATACACAAAGAAATCTTCCCATATTACTCCGATTTTACACAGACTTCATTGGCTACCAGTACGTTTTTGTATTAACTACAAGATACTCCTTATCACATTCAAAGCACTCCATGGTCTTGCCCCCTCCCCTATATTTCTGATCTCATCCATACTCCCCAGTTCGCACACTTAGATCCTCTGATAGTGGTCTGTTGACGATCCGTTGGCACAAACTATCATCGTTTGGTGGATGGGCT